TGTATATTTGAAAGTTGCTGAGAGTAAATCTTAGAAGTTCTCATCATAAGAAAAAAAGATTGTATCTACGCGTAGTGATGGATGTTACCTAGATGTCTTTCTTGTCGTGATCATTTCACAATATATACAAATATCAAATCATTATGTTGTACACCTGAAACTAGTATAATGTTATATGTCAACTACACCTCAATTTAAAAAAAAAAAACAGAATGCTCTGGCATATTTCGAAATGGTTCCTCTCCTCTTCCTCCTACTGAAAACATAAGGGGACTGTTCTCTGATACTCACTATGAGGACCTGGTATAGCTCCTTGAGATAAAACTCCCAAAAGAGTGTGGGGCCTCATATAACCAGTTCCCCTTGGGGTTTTATCTCCCAGACTCGTCCACGTAGAGCCTCTGGCAATTCGTCAACCACATTTTGGTTTTCCTGTCCTGGTACTGGGCCTTGCAGAGGACCGCTTGTGAAATTCTGCTCAGGGAAGTTGTGATTCTCTGTATCTGCCTGTTTGTCTCTGCTATTTGGAGGGCAACAGTTTTCCCTGTGGCCTCAGCTTTCTGACAGATCCACAAGTTGTTGATTTTTTCTGTTTGTTCAGCCTTAAAAAGCCATTGTTAGGACAAAGTGAACACTTCTGAGCTATTTACCAGAATCCAGAAGTCTTGATGTAATATATTAATTACCTCCCCCAGTTGTTTAGTCTGGGTGTTAATTTAGAGTCCAGAGTCTCTTTCTGCTCCATTGAGCTGTTCAGACGGTTCAATGATCAGCATCCTCTCCCTCTCACTAGAGGTATTGTTTTACGTAGATTTTCTGTACAAATCATTCCCTGACAGGCTGAGGACACATAGAAACCTCTAGCCCAAGCTCACTGCTCGCTCTTCCCCTCAACAGCTTCCAATCCCTGAGACCAGCACGTATATCATCTGGATCCAAATAAAGTGGATAGGATGCCTCCTGGTTCTCCTTCCAATCCACACGTATCCTTGTCCTGGCTCCTCTACTCTCTCTAATTTTTTTTTCATCACCATATCTGGCTTTGGTATCAACAATTCAGAGAAAATAGAAAAAGGGACCACACTTCATCCCTACCCCCATTTCCACCATAGGTGCTTCCATGTGCAACTTTTATTGTGAAGACAAGATCGGTTAGAGAAAGGAGAAGGGCAGGTTCTGTGCAATTCTAAAATTTGTTCTATTTCTACCATTCCGTACTGTAAGGAGTAACGTAGACTAAAGTAAGGGCTTTACTTTACTCAAAACACGTGCTCTCCTAAAATTCAGTATAAATTCCTCATCTGAATTATGGAACGACAATAATAAAAGAATTTACTTTATCTTTTGTGTCACCAGCTGTGCCATCTTCTTTCTCACAGATAGGACAAAGGCACCGGCACAAAGATCACAGGCAAGGCCACTCTGTAGAACGGTGGACATTCTTTCTACGTAAACTGATTCTGAGTGAGGATAAAAATTTCCTGACCAGCTTCCCCACCCTCAAGCTATGGATTTTAAACAATGCCAAAAGAATTTAAGGGCCACCGTGTTGAGGATCTTTGTCTAGTTTGTTCACTGATGTATCTAGAGGACCTAAAACAATGTACATTTGAGTGCTTTTATAAATATTCATAGAATGACTGAGTGAAGGGCAGAGAGGACCTTGGTTTAACATACCAAAACTTGGAGGCAGTGTTCTGGAGATACAGCTCAAAGAAGCACTCTAACAATGCAAAGTTGAAAAATCCATTTTAATGTTCATTTGATGTTTGACGGTTGACAGTTTTGACTCCCTTTCTCTTTCTGCTCAACATCTGGGCAATCTGATAAGAAAGGCTGGTGCTCCCTCCATCGGCAACAACAGGAACTTACAATCACACAAGCTGCATCTCATTCAAATGGGAACTCTCATCGCAGCCCCGCCCCCTAACCACCAAAGAACCCCAAGCTGGTAATTCCTGCCTGCCGTGTTCTTGCACCTGCTCAGGACCCTGCCCTGTCCCCCAGAAGAAGTCTCATTATGAGAATAACAGCCCTTCCATACCCTCTTAGTGCATAGTCTTCACAGCTGAACCCAATTTTGAATGGTGGGAGTGGGGATGCCCCCCATGTCAGTGGAGTGTCTACATCTTTGATGATTAGTTTTTTTATCCTAAAAAAAGAACGTTAATTCCGTAATATATGCATGTTTAAAGTAAATCCTTCAAAATAAATTTTGAGTGCTTAAATAATTGCTTCAAAAGTTTTCCAAAAGTACTTTTACTGAAATTGACACCTCAGGAAGATGAATAACATTTACGCCATGGCTTCACCTATTCCTGACATACAGTTGTTTGAGCAATGAGTGTTTTGGTTCAGAGATATAGATTCAGTCCCATTCCATTAAGTTAGAAATGAAGGAAATTGATGCAGAGAAAAGAAAGGGAAATTTTTAAGGTTACACAGTCAGCCAGAATAGAGCTCGTATGATTCCAAAATGTCAAATACTCCCAAAATCTAGTTTATTATTTTATTTTCATATATCTAACACAACATCTACTGCAATCAAGGAGTTTCTATAAGTTATTCAGAAGCATAATCAAACATAAACAGCAATTACAAATTGCTATCTTTTGGGTTTGGGGGGCTGCTTCATCTTTTTATTGTGGTTAAACTTATATGACATAAAATGTACTCTTTTAACTATTTTTAAGTGTACATTTCTGTACACTCGGCATTAAGTATATTCACATTGTCTGGCAACTATCACCATCATCCATCTCCAGAACGTTTGCATTTTCCCAAACTAAGACTCCGTACTCATCAAACACTAACTCCCTATTTCCTTCTTTCCCCAGACACTGGCGACCACCATTTTGCTTTCTGTGTCTATGTATACAAATTGCTATCCTAGGAATTAAAAATATAGAGACAAAGGGAGACTGTCGAGCAAACAGCTACAAAAAGCAGCGAGCATCTTTTTTGCCTACCTGTTGGCCATTTGTATCTGTTGCCTGGGAAAATGTCTATTCAAGCCCTCTGACCATTTTTTAATTGAATTGTTTGGTTTTTTGCTCTTGAGTTATATGAGTTCCTTATATATTCTGCATATTAATCCCTTATCAGATAGATGGTTAGCAAATATTTTCTCCCATCCCATAGGTTGCATTTTCATTTTGTGACTGCTTCTTTTGCTGTACAGAAGCTTTTTAGTTCGACGTAGTCCCACTTGCTTATTTTTTGCTTTTGTTGCTTGCTCTTTTGGTGTGATAGCCAAAAAATCATTGGTGAGACCAACGTCAAGGAGTTTCTCTCCTATATTTTCTTGTAGGAATTTTACAGTATCAGATCTTCTATTTAAGTCTTTGATCCATTTTGAGTTACTTTTTGTGAATGGTGTAAGATAGGGGTCCAACGCCTTTCTTTTGCTTGTGAATATACAGTTTTCCCAACACCATTTATTGAAAAGACTATTTTTTCCCATTGAGTATTCTTGGCTCCTTTGTCAAATATTAGTTGACGATATATGCACGGGTTTATTTCTGGGCGCTCTGTCCTGTTCCATTGGTCTATATGTGTTTTTATGCCAGAAAAAGAACTACAGACTATTCCCAAGGAGTTTTTCTTGTAACTGCAGTAATATGTCTAGAGATCTTCAGAATACTCTTCTTACAGCCCAGACTTGAATTAAAGTCTACTGGCTTGGTTGAAATAAGATGCAATGACAGACCATTGTAATTTGGCCACTGGTGAGAGAAGAGCGAGGCTAACTCTGCACTCGTGGCCATGAGTCAGACGTCAGTACTCCGTCACCCCTAATCCAGTCCCTGCACAGGGGAGGCCCCGCTGAGATTGCATAATATAGGACCTATGGAGAAGTCACCAAGAAAAAGACCAACTTTCACGGTTTATGTTGTCACGGAATTGGTTCTTGGCTTTTTGTGGCTTTACAGATTTATTTATTTATAACTAACATCATGAATATATATGAACATGTATGTAAAAATGTATACAGGGCCAGCCCTGTGGCCGAGTGGTTAAGTTTGCGTGTTCCACTTCAGTGGCCCAGGGTTTCGCCAGTTTGGATCCTGGGCGCAGACCGAGCACAGCTCATCAAGCCGTACTGAGGTGGCATCCTACATAGCAGAGCCAGAAGGACCTATAACTAGAATACAGCTATGTACTGGGGGACTTTGGGGAGAAGAAGAAAAAAAAAAAAGATTGGCAACAGATGTTAGCTCAGGTGCCAATGTTTGGAAAAAACAAATAAAAATATATACAATTTTTCTTTTTTTTTGAGGAAGATTAGACCTGAGCTAACTGCTGCCAAGCCTCCTCTTTTTGCTGAGGAAGACTGGCCCTGAACTAATATCCATGCCCATCTTCCTCTACTTTATATGTGGGACGCCTACCACAGCATGGCTTGCCAAGTAATGCCACGTCCACACCCAGGATCCAAACTGGCGAACCCGGGCTGCAGAAGCAGAATGTGCAAACTTAACCGCTGTGCCACTGGGTCAGCCCCAAAAATATATAAAATTCAACTTCAATTAATTTATTATTTAATTAATTAATTTAAGTAAATAGCTGGGTAACTTTGGCATATTATTTAATTTCTTATCCCTTAATATCTTCATCTATCTGTACTATATCGCCACGTGGCTGATTTGATTTAATGAGTTAATGTAAGTCTTAAACACAGTTCCCAGCACATAATAGGTGCCATGTAAATGTCAGCTATCATTACAATTATTACTCTGTTGAATATCACAGGTAGTACATAAAAAATCTCTGTTTATATACATCTTCTCCAGATAGGAGCTTCTGGAGGATAAGACTCATTCATTCAACAGATTTCCTGAGACATACCTTGTACCCTGAGCTGGACCAGACAGCAGGGTGACAATGATGAACAAGACGCAGATCACGTCTTCGTGATCCTGTACACGCGTTGATTAGCATGGTCTCTGGCAAACAGCAGAAGCTCAAAAGAGTGCGACCTCATCATTAAGTAGCTGAAAATATAGAAAAACAAATTATATTGAAAAGATGATTTATGCCCCTATAAGAATGTTGACAGGGGAAATGTAAAACCTTAAATATGTATACCAAGGGATCTGCTTGTCGAAAAGTAAGTCTGGTTTGCAACTAACTACAAAATGTCTTTAAAGCACCTTTGAGAAGCTGAAGCACTCTGTGTATAATGCGGATAGTGAGAATTAAAATAACAAGACTATGAAACTGACATTTATGGATCCCTAATATACATGAGGCACACTACTGAGAGCTTTTCACTAGTATTTGCTTTATAGATAAATGACCTCATTTAATCCTATTGAAGAAAAAATAAGATAGGGAATAAGACGGGGATTATCAGTACTATTTTTAAAAGAATAAAATTGAAAATCAGTAAGTTAAGTGACAGATCTGCCAGTAGGTGGCAGAGGTGTGTGTGATTCAAACCAAGATCTGCTCAGAAATGGCGCACAGGTGGTTAAAACCTTGCACTTTTTGTCATTCTACACAAACTTCCTTAGGGTACAAACTTAAAGAATTACTTGTTTAAGGGTCAAAATCAATGAGATTACATATCCGTAGAAAAAACCTGACTTGCAATTTTTTATCTGTCCTTCCCAATGAGCTGTGTCTAACGATTAATTGTTCATCACTTTTTAAATGCTTAACATGTAAAACATTTTAACTCTAATTTGAAGATCTCAGAAACTTTAGTTCAATTAACTCACAGGTTAATTTTTTTTTATGATGTTGAGTGCTGGAACAAAATACATTTGAGTAAGAGAGGAGGAAAGCAGAACGTTTAGTTACCTCTAAGAAGACCAGCTGAAGCCTTTCAGAAGTAGTACTTTTAACAGAGTAAATAGGTGTGAATTATCGTCAGCTTTTAAAACTAAGTTTCAGATTTAAGAAAATGAAGACGAGGGGAAATTTTCAGCTTCAAAGGGTGATAGGATATTTCCATGGAACAATTATTTTATTCAGTATCATAATAGGTGCAGGTATATTTCTGGCTCCTAAAGGGGTATTAAAATACTCCTCGCTCAATGTGGGGGTCTCCCTAAGTATTTGGGCTGCCTGTGCTGTCGTGTCTATGGTGGCTGCTCTGAGTCATGCAGAACTGGGGACCACTTTCCCTAGAAGTGGAGCACAGTATTATTTCCTCAAGAGATCTCTTGGACCCCTTATTTCTTTCTCCTATATCTGGGTCAATCTATTTGCTTCCCCGGCAGGAACTGCTGCACGGAGCTTGCTACTAGCAGGCTATATCATACACCCTTTCTATCCTGGATGTTCTGTTCCTGAGATGCCAAAGAAATGTTTAGCGTTGGCCATTGTATGGTGTTTGGGAATTCTGAATGCTCGAGGAGTAAAAGAAGTGACCTGGTTTCAGACTCTCAGTACCGTTGTGAAGATGGCAGTGCTCTGCTTCATCTCTCTAACTGGAATCGTGCTGTTGGTGAGGGGTAGAAAGGAGAACCTAGCTAGATTTGAGAAAGCGTTCGATGCTGAAGTTCCAGATGCCTCGCAGATTGCAGAAGCCTTCTTACAAGGATTATATGCATATTCAGGCTGGGGAGTCCTTGTTCGGATAGCAGGTAAAATTAATTTGTAAATTATAAAAACCACCACTAGGCTATAAACACATAACATTCAAGCATCTTAATTCTAAGAAAAAAAGTACTACATTGTTTTGAGATGATGTGTTTCTGTCTTAGTTTATCGGATAGGTGGAAACACAGTAAACCCTATACAAAGGTGGCTTTCCAACTTTGGAAAGCGAAATATTTTCTAGACGTTCACAATTAAAACAAGTGAATACAAAAATGGTGCAGCTTAAAGATTCCATAGTAATTCCACTTTTTTTTATTGAGCAAACATTTTAATAGTCTATTTTTCCTAATTATAACTGAGTCTTATCAGAGAAAATTTTAAATACAGAAAACATAAATTAAAATAAAGATTATTCGCATGTTCATACATGTGGGGATCACACGGCACATACACTCTAATAACTTTATTTTACTTAAAGTGCAGAGTGAGAATTCACAAATATTATTGAATCTGAATGGTTTTTAATGAGCACACAGTATTGTATCATATGAAACTTGACTGTTACTTAAACATTTTCCCATTGTTAGATCCAGAGTGGTCTCTAGTTTTTCACTTTTAAGTTTTATACTTATTGTTGCAATCAGCATCCTTCTGTTAAATCTTTGTGGATTTCTCATTGCTTTATTAGAAAAAAATCTTGAAATAAAATTACTAAGTGCAGCATATAAATATTTAGAAATGTGTTGAGAAATTGCCTTCCAGAAAGGCTCTACAAATATATCTAATAGTGTGAATTAAAATGACTACACTTGGCATTATTATACTTTTATCATTCTTTTGTCATTAGACTTGTGGGAATCAAACCTCAGTGTTATAACTCACTTTTTCTTTGATTACTAATGGGAAAAACAAGTTTTGCAATTGTTTATGACCATTTATAGTTCTTTCTTGTAAGAATACAGGCAAATATTTTTCCCAGTTTGCTTTGTTCAGAAGATTTTTAAGACTATAATTTTAATACCTGTAGTATCAAACTATCAATTTTCTTACTTGAAAAGTCTTTCCCCATTGCAAGATTTAGATAAATATACAAGTATGCTTCTTTCTCTAAATCTTTATGGTCTTACTTTTTACATTTTACTCTTTAATACACATGAATTATTTTGAGGGAGTCGTATAGTGTGAGATAATAATCTAACTTTGTATTTTCCAAATAGTTAAACACCTGTGTCAGCTTTGGGGTTGGTAATACACACTCAAATTTAATCCAGGTTTTATCTAATCTAGAGACTTAACCCAAAGAGTGAAGGGAGCAGGGACTCTACGCTAACGTCATAGAATACTGTGGCCAGGTTAACAGGCCAGTTGTTCTGATCCTTCGCTAACACGTAATTACAATTCTACAGTGTTGGCCACGAGACAGGGGCAGGCTCCCTCCAGTTCTCCTGGCCTGTGGTTCAGGGTTTCTGAGCTGTTCTCGTCTCATCCAAGAGGCTTGTGTTGCGTATCTCAGAGATACAACATCGAAACCCCAGAATTTAACGCAAATCTGTTGCTAATAGAATCAGTAATTCACCCAGCATGTGGTAATAACATTCAACAAAAATGAGCTCTTTCTGTCTGCAGAGTCATTTCCTTTTCTTATTATATATTATATTGAAACCACTTTCAAATGTTATATACTTAGTCATTTTTTATGTTATGGTTTTTTTGTGGTGTTTTTTGGCAGGAGAGCTGAAAAACCCTGGTGAGAATATCCCCAAATGTGTGATTACTGCACTCACCCTGGTGGCTCTGATCTACTTATTGGTTAACATTTCCTACCTAGCAGTCTTGACTCCAAAGGAAATCATGTCCTCAGGTACGGCTACCCAGAACCAGAGGGAAGACACTCTCTGTCCCATTCTTGTGGAGAAAGGGGGTCTCTAATATAAGGTGGATATTTCGCATACCTTAAGAGATTATGCTAAATTGGTTCATGTCTAGATTATTTATTTATTTGTTTAAAGTTAGAAGTTTGAAAGGTCAAGCAATCTTTAATTTTGAGCATATATTAAAGTCTAGCAGTAGAAATATGGAAAGCACCAAGAACTGGAAAAGGAAAAAAGGCAGAACATGATATTTTAAATTGAATAAAATAGAATCAAAAATACGAGAATATTTACCTAACCCTTAGGATGTACTCCTTAAGGACATCGTGAGTGCTTTGGGTTAATATCTGCCCCCATAAATATATGGCATACACCTTGTCTCTAGGCATATCCCCCAAATCTATAGGAGATATAGGGCTGGAGTGCTTATCTTTTCCTATTACTGGATGTATAAATCCTTCTGCAATATATTTCTATAAGTATACAATTTTAATATACCATAAAAATTATTCAGGGTCTGGCCTGGTGGCGCAGTGGTTAAGTTCGCATGCTCCACTTCAGCAGCCCAGGGATCGCTGGTTCGGATCCCAGGTGAGGACCTACACACCACTCAAGCCATGCTGTGATGGGCGTCCCACATATAAAGTAGAGGAAGATGTTAGCTCAGGGCCAGTCTTCCTTGGCAAAAAAAGAGGAGGATTGGTGGCAGATGTTAGCTCAGGGCTAATCCTCCTCAAAAAAAAGATTTATTCAGATTTTCAAAATTAATTCTACTTATAGGTAAAGAGACCACGTTTTTCCCCTAAAAATAGGCAAATTGGAAAATCCTCAATTCTCAATTGAACTTAGCAAATCTAGACAAATAAATAAATAAAGTATATATGTTTTAAATTCTACATTTCTAGTTGTCACTGGGCCTTAAAGGTAAAGAAAATCAGTAATAGGCTCTCATTATAAAGAAAAAGAATAAAAAGAAAATAAGGTTTTATACCACATCCAAGCTTGCTACTCCTTGGTTATCTCAACTCTAAAATGAGATAAGAACATATTATTCACTCGTCTCACACATTAGCAATGATAATCAAATGTGAAAATATGCATGAAGGCACTCTGGAACTCCTAAAGCAAACAAATATTCTGCTATGAAAAGTGCATGGCCTGATGAAAACAGCCATATATTTGGAATGAAGTCACCTAATTGCAAATATTGCCTTTCAGATTTGGCAGCTTTGTGCATTCGGTAAAGATTCAAGGCTCTTAGTTTCAAGTGTCATGTCAGTAAAATGGGGAGAAAAATTGTTACCCTTCATTTGCATAGGATAACTAAATAAGAGTAAGAAAAATCACTTTAGAGAATTTACAATCAAGTTATGGGACTGATAGTACTGAAATGCAAGAGACAAAAATGCTCTGCAGTGGTCCTAAATATCCAAAAGGGAGCAACATTTTTCACCTAAATTAGCCCTTTGAGGTGAGGAAATAAGACCCGTGACTTCACAGACTTGACAGAGGAGAAAAATAGCAAACAGCCACATTCATAAAAATTTTAGATAAGACATGCTTATATTAGTAGACTCAATCAGAGGCAAAGAGTGAAAACTCCACAGAACTGTCTGTGTAATACAGTAAATTCAGTAAGAAACAGACAGAGGAAGCCCACATCTTTGCTAGCTTGAGTTTGCAGTCCACTTTGGAGCTATCATCAAACCAGCCCATTTTCAATGAGGATGCCCTTGAAATTAGAGTATTAGAGAGGAGCTAGATCAACTCTTCACATCCCTGGCTGACTGGGGAACAGCACACAATTGCAGAGAAGACTAGGAGAGTCAGGCAGTAAGTAAAAACCAAGATGACTTGAAAACTGGCTGAAATTTGAATGTGTTTCTCAACACACACACACACACATCAATTGCGAGAGGATAGAAGCGTTATGGACCTGAGGTGTTTTGACACAACTTCTGTTCAAATAATTGACTAACCACTAAGCTGCATGGCCATGGTAGCAACCCCTAGGGATACAAATGAAAAATTAAAACTAAGAATCAAAATCTGAGCGGATATATCAGTAGCTTCACATCATGAGGGAGACAACATTTTTCAGTTGAAGTGCAGGCAACTTAAAAAAAAAAACACCCCAAAGCCCTCAAAAAATACATGAAGAAATAATGGCTTGAAAACTCCAAAAATTGTTGGAAAACATTAATAAACAGATCCAAAAAACTCTATGACCCCACAATAAACACAAAGAGAATGAAATCTAGGCATAGCAAAGCCAAACTGTGAAAGCCAAAGAAAAGAGAAAGAGAAAGCAGTAAGAGAAAAAACACTCACTACGTATAGGGAACAGGCAATATAATTAACAATTGACTTATGAAAAAAGATGGAGCCCAAAAAGCAGTGGAATAACAGAAAGTGCTGAAAGGAAAAAAAACTTGTCAAACAAGAATTTGATATCCAGTGAAACTATCCTTCAGAAACGAAGGCAAAAAAACACACTACCAGATAAACAAAAACAGAGAACTCGTTGCTAGCAGACAGGCTCTGTAAAAAATATTAAAGGGAATTCTTTAGGCTGAAAGAAAGTAACCTGAATCAAGAGGAAGAAAGAGTGCCAGAAACAGTAAATATGTGCGTAGATATAAAAGACTCTGTATGTGTGCATACACATTTCTTTTTCTGTTAAATTTAAAAAAAAATACTTAACATTATTTAAGGCAGTAATTCTGAAACTGAAGTGTAGGCTTTATAAAATATACAGATGTAGTATATACGACAATAATGATACAAAAGAGAGGGGAAAACGAGCTATATTGGAACAAAGTTGCTATATTGTACTAGAATTAAGGAAAAAATAGCTTGAAATTGATTTTGATGAATTGAAAGGTGCATATTGTAATTATTAGAACAATCACTAAGACAATAACTCAAAAAATACAGATTAAAAAAACAACAGAGGAATTAAAATGACTTGTTAAAAATGTCTAAAGAAGGCAGTCAAGGAAGAATAGAGGAACAAAGAAGATATGACATTAAAAATAGCAAAGGACAGATGTAAATACAACAATACAGATTGTCAGGCTAGATAAAATCATCAATCGAATTATATGCTATCTAAATGAGACACACTTTAGATTCAAAACCATAATTAAGTTTAAAGTAAAAGAATGGAAAAAGATATACAAGCAAACATTAATTGTAAGAAAGCTAGAACAGTGATATTAACAAGACGAAATAACTCTAAGACAAAAAAATGACTAGAGACAAAGAAAGGCTTTTCATAATGATAAAAGGGTCAATGTATGAAGAAAATGTAACTATTACAAATATATACACACCTAATAACACAGCCAGAAAAGACATGAAGCCAAACTAAGATAACTGAAATGAGAAATAGGCAATTCAATAATTATAGTTAAAGATGTCAGTCCATCACTCAATAACTAGATAGAAAATCAGTAAGAATATAGAAGTTCTGAATAGCACTATCAATCATATTGATCTAATCAACATTTATAGAACATACCACCAAACAGAAGGAAAATACACATTTATTTCAAGCACATATGGAACATTCTCTAGGATAGACAAAATAGTAGGATATAAGACAAGTCTCAAAAAATTTAAGATTTATATCATTCAGAATATTTTTCAGGGCCGGCCTTGTGGCATAGTGGTTAAGTTCGGCGCATTCCACTTTGGTGGCCCAGGCTCATGGGTTCAGATCCTGGGCGCGGACCTACACCACTCATCAAGCTATGCTGTGGTGTCAACCCACATACAAAATAGTGGAAGATTGGCACAGATGTTAGCTCAGGGCAAGTCTTCCTCAAGCAAAAAAATAAAAAAAAGAGGAGATTGGCAATCAATGTTAGTGCAGGGCCAATCTTTCTCACCAAAAAAACACAAAATTTCTCTAACCACAATGGAATCACAATAGAAATCAACAACAGAATATAATTTGGGAAGTCCCACATATTTGAAAATTAAACAACATGCTTCTAAATAAACCATGGACCAAAGAAGGAATCACAAGACTCTTAAGAACCATGAAGAGTCTGAGATTTAACCCTAACTGTAAACTTATAAGTTAGGCTGGCATAGTTTCAGGGATGCTGGCAATGGAGACAAAGAAAATTTATTATTCATAGCAGTGGCAGTGCTAAAATATCATTTTTATTCTGGTTCCCCAAACCTCAATGCCCCTAAGATGAAGGAAAGAAGGCCAGGGGATACTTGCACATGACAGTAGAGGAATCTCAGGCTTAGGGAATTCAAATCTCTTATAATGAGCAGTAAGTATTCCTTCAAGAAGAAGGTCCTGGGAATGGCTCTGAAAGATAAAAGATTATTACTGTCCTCCTATCCTCGTATTTTCCAGAGTCTAAGATGTTCTCTCCTGGGAACCCACAATGACCACTATATGAGGACTCAGCAAACAGTGTACTCAACCAAGGGGTCCTTATTCTTACAATCTAAAACATGTCAGTCCAACAAGAGAATCCAAGTGCAAGAACTAGAATTAATTTTGAATCCCCCTTGTCCAAGCTGCCATCCAAAGGCTACACTGACCAGGCGGGCTTGGGGTTTCTGTGTGAAGAAAGGAAGAAGCATGATAACCAGTAACAATCAGAAAAGATTCCTGAGTTTTCGGAACAGGTCTATATAACTCCTTATCCCACTCTTCCTGATCATTGCCCAGGAAGCAGCCAAAAGTGAATGATCATTTTCTAGGGATGGTTATATTCAGTGACCAAACTACTTGACTAAGGTGTGTGGACCAGAAAACTTAAAGGAGGTCGAGTCAGAAATATTTCTGTGTTGATTTTTGAGGAAGCCAACAAAATACTAAACAATATCAGATGTCTTCAAATGGTAGGAAATACGGAGAATCCATTGAATATCCTTGCCTTCAGCACTTTGTTGAGTAGTTGTCATGATAAAAACGTGCACAGTTGTTAGATTTTGAATGGTCAAACGCATAACACAGATCAGCTTCAGGGGCCACAGTGATGTGGCCAGATGAGCTAATTGAACTGGAACAGTAACACTGTAACCTGAAAAATTTGCCAACGGCTATGAGATGTCACTCCCAAGAGAGGGTCAAAAGCACAATACAGTCAATCTGCCAGGAGTGAGCAGGGGTAACATCCTGAGCAAGTAGCCTTCCTCACAGTGAGACAAATGGTCAAATTTTGGCAGAAGTCATAGTCTGGCATTTGGTGTTAGCCTCTATCTCAAAAATACAGTCTTTTTTTTTTTTTTATGTCCACTATATGATGGTAATTATGTTGCCATGTCTGGTAAGACGATGAATTCAGGTATCAATCATGATGATCTGGATAGTGCTATATCAATCAACAGCTTGATTTCATTGATTCTTATCAGTGAAGGGGCTCTGTAGACAGAACTTAAGGTTATTCTCATAGCCCTGGCCAATTCTCTTGATGAACCTTGCTATAATTCTACTGATGGGTTGTTGTCAATAGCCTGGATGTTTGGTCTGTCATTTGTAAAATATAGACTGGAAGATTAAAGACACCCTTCTTTGGGGCCATGCTATGGAAAAATATCGTGGCTGCTGATTAAACCATTTGCTGGTTGGTGACTCATGTCCACTAAGTAGAATATTCTCGTCTGTGTTCAGTTCTGCATAGCTGGTGCTTAGACTGAACAGCTGTAACAACCTAGTGGACACTATAGGGTTTCAGTTTAGTCAGACCATCAGTGGACCATGTCCAGACATCTGAGGGAACTCTTGTGAATAGAGAGCCCCCATTGAACCAGCACTTATGCTTCAGTTGGCAAATAAGTATGTAGCTGACACTTTTTCACGCAAAGCCAAGATGCCACTGGGCCAAACCAGCTACATTCTTGAATATTCCATTTCCATTTGAAAAGAGAGAATTGGGCTCTTCACATTTGTTAATAGTTGAGTCTGAGTTCATTCACCTCAAAATGAGAATACTAGGCCAGTGAGTCACAAGGCCTCCAGGAATCAGGTGTTCAGTTTGACAACATTCAGTAGCAAACTAATCATTGTTTTTCAAACGGTCGCCAGAGGTTACAATACAAAAAAAAAAAAAAAAAAAATCATCAATCCCAGAGACTTCTAGGTCAAAGGAGTAATTATGGTTGTGGATCCCCAAAGGTAGGCAGTGTGCCCCAGCTTGCTGGACGGCTTCCAATATACCCTGTTGATTTGTTCTCCACTCAAAGGACAGTGATCTGTGAGTTAGTGGATACAGAAGACTAAGCAGAATGCCCAAGTGAGACACATACTATCTACAATACACAAAGAATCCATAAGATGCCAGGTCCCCTTTTAGTAGTAGGCAATCAGAGATGGTAGATTTTTTCTTGACTGCCAGAGGGATTGAGTGTCTTGAATCCACCTACATACTCCCAAGAAACTTTACTTGGCAAACAGTGCCCTGAGTCTTGTTGAGATTCATCAGCCTATTAGTGGAGGTGTGATATTACCAACTCAGGTCTGTTGACAATGAGGCTTCTGACGTGCCAACCAACAGGACATGAACTATACAGAGTATCAGAGGGCAGAGACACTCTTGTAAAATCCTGACCACCAACAGGAGGCAAATAGCAGGGGAGCTTCAGAATCCCTAAGGGAATACTGGAAAGTTTATCAAAGGCCTTGCCACATGAATGTGAATGAGTCTTGGTCTTCAGGTGCCAGTGGGATAGAAAAGTGTTAGCGGTATCCAAGACAGTTTACCAAGTGGCATTAAACTATACAATGATTCTAGTTATAGTCACAATGTGTGGAACAACTAGGGCTATAGGACCAACAATTGAATCCAGTTGGCAATAATCCCCATAAACCTCCAGCTCCCAGCAGCTTTTGTCACTGGCCCTACAGTAACAGTTGTATTGAGAAATTGCAACGTTTGCTACCCCTGTTGCCTTTAAGTCCTTCGGCAAGTTTGTGATCTTTCTTCTACTGAGATCCTACATTATTTCATAGGAGGGAGAACGAGATGGTTTGGGGAGGAACTTACACGTCCCACTAGAACTCTACATGCATCTCTCCCTGAACAGGAGAATCGTCTCTGGACTTTTTGATCACTTGTAGTACAAGCGTGTAAAACATCAATACTAATAGTACGTTCAACAGTAGAAACCACAAAAATATAGTACATTGAAAGGCCCAAAGGGCTTTATCCACCATGGAACTTCTGTGGATAGAGACTTCCTTTCCCCACTGTGAATTCTACCTAAACCCCATTAGCTGACTCTAGCCCTCACCCGACAGGACTGTGTTTGTTGATGACTTGGGAAGTTGTATCTAACGAGCCTCCACAAAGTTTCCCAGCATACTCAGGTGGGTATAGGCTTCAGGGCAGGGAGACCTCAGTCACATCCCTAACCATTTTTCTCCTCAAGATAGCTGAGGTTAAGGAAGAGGGGGATAGGGGCCATGGAGAAAGAGAGAGTATCTTTGTGCCATCAAGTAAGATAGCTTTTTTTCTCTCGGGTTAACAAAACTGCCTCCAGAAGAAACAGAATATCTAAACAGATCCAAATTAAGGAAACATATTGAATTTGCAATTGGCTCAACATCCAAGAATCAATTAATGTTTTACTATATTAATATAATAAAGGACAAAAATCACATTATAATGCTAAAAGACTCATAAAAAGCATTTGACAAAATCCAACACTCATTCATAATTTTAAAAAACACTCTCGAAAAATACAGGGGTGTAAGAAAGTTTCCTCATTTTGATAAGGCGCAGCTGCAAAAACCTCGTTACCAGCCTTTGTCTTTGCTACAACTATAATTTAAAATATTTTTAATTAATTAATTAAAAAGTTCAATGGAGTATAAATTTTACATTAGTTATACCATTAGTGGCTTTTCTAATTTTTTTTTTTTTTTTTACAGATGCTGTTGCTGTCACCTGGATGGATAAAGTAATCCCTTCTATGCAATGGGCTATTTCCATTGGTGTTTCTTCCTCAATATTTAGCTCCCTTAATTGTACTGTATTTTCATCATCAAGGGTACTGTACGTTGCAAGTCAGGAGGGTCAGCTACCATTGATCCTCTCAACTCTTAACGTCCACTCCTGTCCAGTGGTCGCTGTGCTTCAGATGACCATTCTTGCCTCCTTTATAATTATTCCCTCAGACTTAATCCTTTTAGTAAACTATGTGGGATTCATAGACTGGCTCCAACTTGGGCTAATGATGACGGGTTTACTTAAACTGAGATTCCAGGAGCCCGACCTACCCAGACCTTATAAGGTAATTTGAACCACCAAAAGAAAATATCCCCTTTATCTTTCTAAAGAGCATTTTCTACTCTTAATACCTTGTTATTATATCTAGACGTAAAATCTCCAGCCCATTATGAGACCATTTTAGGAACATTTGATCTAGAATATGAATTTTCTATTTCTTGGTCCATAAGCTTCTTGGGCCATTTTCAACTTGAAATCTCAGAAGAGAAAGTGCGAGACTGGTCCTTATTAGAAAAAGGAGAAGACCTTTAAGATCTTTTTACATTACGGCAAATACAACCAGTGAAATTTGAGCCAAAAGGGACCATATGTGGGGTACATAAGGTTTGCACTAGATCCCAGTAGAACAGACTGCCAGTGTCCAGGACCAATGATTATTTGAGTGTCCTCTTACTGGTGCATCCTCAGATTATCTTCTAGAGGCTCTAGGCTTGCCTAGGATTCCTCAGGCTCCTCAACTCAAATGCCATCAAGGTATAAGCTTCCACCATTGATGGTCAGTATAGAAGGGCTACATTCTAGACAGTTGTGAAGGAGTGTAATTTCAACCTGCTCATCTTTCAAAAGCTTACATCAGAGGCAGAATATCTGTGGAGGGTTTCCTGAGAGCTAAGATTCTGTTGATTCCTCAAACCACTAAAATCTCTCTCTTCATTAGCTATCTGAAATGCTTCATGTAAGCCCGTGGAATATATTTTTTTTCTTCTGATTGTCTACTCTACCCCATCCACCTATACTATGGATTTAACCAAAATATTATGTTTAACCAAAGAACCTCTGGCAGCTCATTCTTGTACTTCTTGCAGGGAGATTGTTAAGAGATACATTTCTACATTATGCAACAGTTTCTCTATATGTAGATCCACTGAAGAAAATTCTTTCTAATATTTGTATCAGGAATGCTTGTGTTTCTAGGCAGTTTATTTAGTTTTGTTTACAGATAACTGACCTTAGTAAGTGCCTGCCTCCCTTTTCATAGAGGCTGCTAGAACGCTTAAAGCTAAATTAGTTGTTAGCCACTAGCTTGTAAATAGGCTTAGGAAGCACACCTTGCTATATACCAGTCATTATTGTTAGGTCGATGAGTTTTTTTT